TGGAAACACCCAAATTCTAGAGTTCTTCACGGTTTTGGTGAAATTGAAGCACTTCCAGGCCAAATTGGCCTTGGTCTCAGGTATGAAAGTTGTTCTACTCATTGAGATCTTCAAATCTGCAAATTTTGGTAATTTTTGGAAATAGTTGAATTTTCCGGCGAGCCGGGGGCGGCCAACCGCCACCCGCGGCGGCCCGCGCGGCGGCGCGTGGCCAATGGCCCGCCAATGTCATTATTAGCTTGTGATTAAGGTTCTAGGTTCTGTTTTGATAATTGATGGACGTAAATTGAATAATTGAACCTAAGTTGGTTACGATTCGTGGTTAGATGAAAATGTGAATTGACGATCCGACCGTTGGATCGTCATCAAACTTTGATACGTTGTAATACGTAATATTTGAGGATTATAAGGAACTTACGGATTGGGAATCCGATTTACGGATCTTCTGGAATTGAAGTTGTAAGTTCATAAAATAGAATGTTAACCGTCACTTAGTTTTGGAAATTGACGAAGATCCGACCGTTGGATGGTAATGAAATTTTAGGATGTTTGTCCTAGAGGTATATTGTGGACCTCTGGAAGTTACGGATTTGAAATCTGAATTGCAGATCATCCGGATCGAACTCGATCGAACTACGTAGTGACGTGTCTTATATAAGTTATGTATTCTATCGGCAGAATTTCTGAGGTTGGATTTGATTGTTGTTCTAGGCGCTAATCGTCATGACGCCTTGATGTACGGTGCTAGGGAGTTGTGGGCGAACTCCAGGTGAGTGGGCAGTTTTGTTTTCGTATTACCTATATACTATTGTTTTTCCCAGAAAAAATGCTTTTATGATGCGAAATTATGTTTTGAAAATGCCATGCATAGAATTATTTGGAAAATGTGAATTTCATATGAGTTATATGATTGATATATGATGCATACATGTTGCATGGTGCTGTGGAGGCACAGGTAAGTCAGGTGAGTTCGTTTATTCATTGAATTGTTGTTGTTGAGATGTTTGAGCTCATAATCTGCACCCTAGGTGTTAGTGCTTATATTATTCACCACACCGCACGCACGCTCGCCTTGGATCAAGTAGGTGGATGTCGTACAGACCATGTGAGGGTTCCGACATGCCAGTCGTACAGACCATTAGAGGGGTTCCGACTGGTGGGTGACCTTAGATATGTGCGCTGATGATATGATGAGAGAAGCACTAGAGCGTATTTTACACCTTTCATCGTATAGACTACCTTACGTAGTTCCGAGTGATGTGCAGAGTAGGGCCGTATAGGTCACTGTGGTGACTCCGGCTTAGTGAGATATTGAGCTATTGAATTAATCGTATAGGACCAACTGCAGGGTCTCCGATTGATTCCTTATTTCACCTGATTTATATTTTGATTTATGGCATGGCATGTTTTTCTTGAAAAATGTTAAAGATTTGGGATTCAAGCTTTGAGATTTCATATGGTTATATATCTATATATATATATATATATTTCTGAAAAGTGTTAAAGGTTTGAGATTTGAGCTTTTTGCTTATATATATGTTATATATATGCTATTTTCTCTGGAAAGTATACAGGTTTTACGGTGAGGGGTTATAAATGTTCTAAATGAAAAGTCTTCGAAAAACTTTGTTTTACTGACCCACTCAATTTTGTTTTGCGCCCCTCCAGGTTCAAGTTAGCAGAGCTTTGGTGGCCACGAGGAATCCAACGGTGTTCTGACAGAATTCACAAAAGTAGGACTCACCCTCGGGTGTGTATCTTAGTAATTGGAATTTTTTTTAAAGCTTCCGAACTGTGTAAATGGTTACGTCACTCTCACGTGACGGCCAGCACGCCCTCCTTCGGGACGGGGTGTGTCATTCAGTTTGTGTGTTGTTGGTTGAGTACTCTAGAGTTGATTCACTATTCTGCATGTATAGGGTGTTACTTAAAGAATTTATCTTGAAAAAAAATATCTCAGTCAATTTTGAGCCATGATGATTAATGTTCTTTTTTGTAGCAAAACTTGTAAACAAATTTGGTGCTTATGATATAATTATCTTAATATTTTGTATCTCTATTCCTCTTCTTTGATTAAAATTTTCCATTCTTTTACAATTTTTTTTTGTGTCCCCCCATTTTTCGCTTAATTAAGGGTAGTGCTATTCAAATAGTCCTTTTTACTTCCAACACATCCTTGTTAATTTTGGTCCATTGATATTTTTCAATTTATTCGACCCAATAGTTAAAAATTGAAAGGGGTGTTGAGAGGTAAAAATGAGTGTTGGATAGCACCACCCCTTAATTAATTAATTAACATATTATTGGTTCATGTCATCAGTTAAATCTTTACTTACAATTGATACCTAGATTATTTTGACATACAAAATTAATACGTTTGCTAATAATTTTGAATACAAGTAGTCATACTATTATATGTGAGCTTTTTACTTCTATTAGAAAATATGTCAATTAGTATATCAATTCTGAGTGCCAAATAACATGACATCGAAAAGTATTTACCAACTAAGTGTGCATCACTCCTAAGCATGGAATATTTGCATCATGCATGTGTCATGCACCCCTAAGCAGCCACCCGAAATCCCCATTGTTGCTTGGGATTGTACAAAATATTTACCCAAATGCTATAAAGCAGAAAAAGAAAGGAGAGTTTTAAGGTCTGCTCAGTGGCCCTTTAGCTGCAAACTTACACATTACATTACAGTGCTAACTGGGCTCCACTTCCCTCTCTCACGTTTATCCTCCTCAATAATTTCTACACGTGAGCATACCAAGTCCCAACCAAAGGATGATCGAGACTTTCCAGCTAGATCTCAAGTGCACAAAATCTCAATGCAGCATGTAATAATTAAGCTCAAGTCAACTCCTACTAATAGTCATTTTACGAATTTGTTTTCCCGCATTTCATCGAAAATCGGATCTTCCTTTTTTTTTTTCTCTTTCTGGCTCGATAGTTCAACCTACTAATTGATTTTTTTAAATGATTAATTTTCACTGTTCATTTTTAAGATTCGTAGTCTTAAACTATTGGGAAAAAAAAAAAGATATTAATCACCAACTTATTACGCCAATTGCGGTTCCTTGCTTTTTGATGGTGGATTGGAAGAATTATCTCTGATGATTTCATCATATGCGATTTGCGTGTACATATATTTATAAATAAGGAAATCAGGTTGCATATGTTTTAGCTTCATTTGGGACATATAATTATGCTTATTACTGGGGATCCACAATTCCAATTTTGTAACATCTGCCCGCGCCCGTGAAATATCGTTTTGTCCTTATTATCCTTTTCGATGATTGTTTTGCCTTTGCGGGTCTTGGCATAGTCCCCATGCTTGTATTTTTTTTGTTTACTTTCATTTATTATCAATAAATTTGGTGGAGGAGGGATTGGCGTGGGGGATTTCTAGGTGTAATGTTGCTCACCCCTTTAGGAAAATGAGGTGTCTTGCATGCGACCATTGCCAAAGAGCTAATCTTGCCTCATCTTTTTCCATTGAATAAGATAATATTTAACTAAAAAAGATTACTAACAAATGTATCGATTCTGTATTTGCCTTGAGCAAACAAGGTTTAGAGTAGGGCCAGACGCAAAACAAAGACAAACACTATTACATGAGGGTTTTTCTTCTTGTTGTTGAACTGTTACATGCGTTACTATCTCAAAAGTTGGTAGAATAAGTTCCGCGGGGGGGGGGGGGGGGGAAACCCTAACTAATGTACTTTTCTCTATGCTAATTAATCTCCAGAGAAATCTGCATATCTCTACGGACAGTTGATTATGAACACATGAAAATTTCTGACCATAAGTGGATGTGGTCTTCATTGTGAGACTCACATATATTCACGGTCAAATAATGCTTAAGCGGCCGCATGCCACTTAGTTCAAAATATGTAAAACATGTAGAATTGCTATATAGCTTTCCACTCCTCTCTATGTGACTATGCCAGTGTTGAAAAAATAGTAAAACAGGTCGATCTCATTGTCTCTAATAGGCATAAGTTCTACACATAATACTATGGTCCATTTTTATTAAAATTGTGTTAGATATGAAATTAGTTGTGTGTCTAAATAGCATTGTTTCGAAATAATATAAAGATAAGTTTAATGTATTGAACAACACTCAAATGGCGAAGCCAAAAATTATTTGGTGGGTGCGCTAAGCTAAAATTATTACTACGAAATCAATTTCTCAATTTTCTTTTGTTGCTTACATAGATTTATATAATAGTAACCTAATTAAATTCTATATGATAAATTATATTTCAACAAATCTATCAGAAAATTTAACAATTCAAATTATGCAAACTGAAAATATCAAAATAATTAAAATTTCAAGTATGAACTCTCAAAATCCAAAATAAACAGATAAACTCGCAGTTAGATCAAGAACAAAAAATAAAGTGGTCAAGAACTTACTAATTGATCAGAAAAATCAATAAACATGCAGATTAAGAGTCAAAGAAGAGAGACATTTGTCTAAGTGTCTCTTTGGCAAGAGGCCTTTCTTTAGACTTCAAAAATGTTTAGTCTGGTCTGTATCTCTGTATCGCATTGACAAGCAGCTTTCATGAGTCATGAGTGAGTGCGTTGAGCAATGAAAGGTTACAGTCTACTAAGACCCGTATATGGTAGTAATGATATTGAAGTTTTTAATTTAATACTATGAATTTTTGGTGTTGGTTAAAGTGATTAGTTTTTTTTTTTTTTTTTTTTTTTTTAAGTGATTAGTTGTGGGCTAGGACAATAAAACATTATATAGTAGCCCAACTAATTAGTTTGTTTAATGTTAAGGAACTCAAACGCTAACTATGCTATAGCCCACCATAGCCATGTACTTGGCTCTGCTAGAAGACAAAAGTTCATCTACCATGGTGGATTCCCGTGATAGATTGAAATCTACCATGGACGGTCTGCCTTTTAAGAATCTAAATGTGATAAAAAATACATATTTTTTACCACATACTTGTATCATAATAGAAATGAGCTATTGTGGATTCGCTAGATAAATAAGTAAAGCCCACTTGGAGTTTAAATAATGGAATTTTTTACAACATTAATCTAGCTACAACCTGCAGTAATGAAATTATACAATTGGATAAAGCTAATTGTTAATAATAGAGCACTAGTTAGGTCCCTCTCTGTCCTTTAATTTTCCCCTTGATCAGTTCTCTTAATTACTCTAATTATAATTTGGCAAACTTATTTCATCAAGATCATCCAAAGATAAGAACACTTCGTCCAGGCACGAAAGCTCTGTCCCATCATCATCATCATCCTCACGCTCGTAGACTTTACACAGAACGTATCCACTGTATTCCTGAAAAACAATTATATATGTAGAAATAAGAATAAGGAAAACTAATGAAAATGGCTTGAAAACTTTGAGTTTTAATGATAAGGACAAAATAAAAGGTAAAGTGAATAGTACCAGGATTGACTTTTTAGTGTAAAAACGTGGTTTTTCGTTAAAGTGAACAGTACCAGATTCTTTTCGTTAAAGTTCCCATAAGAATAACAAAAATACACTTTCTTTTGCATATGTAAGAGAACTGTCATAACTACGTAATTATTTTGTTTCTTGTACGTGAGTAGCCACGCATGCACATCATGTCATTGCATAGTAGTAGTATTAGTAGTAGTAGTAGTGATGGTGACATGCATTACTAACTGTATTGGATTGCCCTCTTCTTTTGGATGATCTGCTGGTGGTCGTGGTGGTGGAAGAAGAAGCACAATCTGAGGCTGACGAAGAGAGACGATACTCGTGCATTGTCCAATTAGTTTTGATGCCTGAATTTGGAGCTTCTCCAACGAAAAACGTCAAATATTTTTTCATCCCAACTTTCTTGGTAGGATTAGAAGATGAGCTTGAAAAGATAGGTTCTTCAATGCCTAATGTTTTCCAGTACCCATTATTCGTGACCCGATTCTGTGCCCTCCTGCTGTAGAAGTACCACTGCTTGCCCTCACTCAAAGCCTTACCTATACATAAATACAGTGCAAAAACTCATTAATTAATATACGAAATATATTCTCTTTACCAGAAGATATAACAATATTAACTAATTATATTGCTAGTCTCAATATGTATGGGAATCGATCGGATTCTTGTGTAGACACGTCCGTATATAAGTTTGCAAGAGAGTCCTGTAATATGTGCTAGCAGTATTGTACCATCTATTCATTGTCAAATATATGTAGTCAAGTACATAAGTGCTTGATTTAGTTGTTCGGGAGTATTTTTAATATTTACGAAAGAAACGCATACATGCATGGTAACAAAAACAAGCATACCATTTAATTCCCATGGATCATATGGGTAGAGATGGAGATCGGGAATGACATCGGGATGGAAAGGTAAGAGAGCTGCCTTACGTTGAAGGAAATGGACTACAAGTTCTTCGTCGGTCGGGTCAAATCGGAAACCAGGAGGGAGCTTAAACTGGTCGTCTCCCATTAGGAACGAATATCAGACAATAACAAGAACAAGAACAAGAACAAGAGAGAAGAAGAAGAAGAAGAAGTTACATGATACAGTAGCTAAGCTGTGGATATATAACTCGTGTAAACGAAGTCTTAGCTGAAGGTGATACTTATAGCTAGCTGTATAGAAAGCAATAGATCGAGAAGAAAACAGAAAAAGATAGAAAACAAATATAAAAGAAAAGTGAGTGAGTGAGTGAGTGAGTGAGTGACGTGAAAAAGAAGGTGGGATTTCATCAGAAATGGGGGAGTTGAGTTGATGGTTTGATTGATGGTAAAAATGATTTGATATGCAAGGCGGCGGGCAACGAACCTGTACATGTAGATACTTTGAAAAGTAATTTAATTGGGTTTTGAGGGACATATTTGTGAGCCACACAAAAAAAAAAAAAAAAAAAAAAAAAAAAAGAGGAAAAAAAAATACTTGATTGTAATTTGTGCCGGAAGCAGCCTGCAATATGAGTAGGTGGATGTGCCATATACACTCGTACTTCTGTTTGGACACTAACTTATTTAGAAGGATCAGTCATTCTTCTTTCAACGTGACGTAATATCAATTTATTATACAAACATTCTGATTGAGATAATTTATTCTCTTTGTTATAATGTAAATATTATCTTTATTAAAATGAATTCGATTTGGAAAAATTAAAACATTCATAAGAATCAAATAAATTTACGTTTCATTTTGAAAATATTACTTGTTACAAAACATCGATTTGTTGGATACAAATAGATGTCTCAAAGATCTCCAAATTAGATGAATGTCTTGAAATGATCTTTAGATGGTGAAAGAGAATAAATAATTGTGATTATGACGTTTGAACTAGGGGTGGGTTCTAAAAACCGAAAACCGAAAAAAAGAGGGACCGAACACCAATCCGAAACCAAAAACGAAAAAAAACCCGAACCAAATTGAAAACACCGTACCGAATTATTATATATCTATTATTTATTATTTATTATTTGTATTTTATTTTTTTAAGCGCAATTCCCGCTCCAATTCCAACCCCAATCTCCAATTCCAACCCAATTTATAAGCCCAATTATAAAAGGAAAACTAATGAAAAAGGGTTTGAAAACTTTAAGTTTTAACAATAAGGACAAAATAAAGGGTAAAGTGAATAATACCAAGATTGATTTTTTTAGTGTAAAAATGTGGTTTTTCGTTAAAGTGAACCGTACCAGGAGCTTTTTGTTAAAGTTCCCAATTATAAACCCTAGCACTATCCTTTTTTTTTACTTAGAGAGCCGCATGCATTCCTTTCTCCATCTTTCTTTCTTCTTCTTTTTTTGTCCCTCTTTCTTCTTCTTTTCTTTCTCCCTAGACCTCAGCCGCATCGTCTTCTCTCCTTCTTCTTTCATTTTTTTTCTTCCTCTTCTTTCTTTTTTTCCCTAGACCCCACATCTTCTTTCTTCTCACCCCAATTTTGAATCTCACCCACCGACTCTATCCTCCCCGGAATTCCAAAGCTCTATTTCTACGCTTCCTGCTTGATCTCTAGCAGATTAACTCCGTCTGTAGCTCCCGACGCTGCCACCATAGACGAGTCCACCAAGCCCGCCATAGCCAATTCTACCAAGCGGTGCCTCGCAAATTTATTCAAAGATTTATATGTGGAATTTGAATTTAGATTTCTCAAATTTTCATATGATTTTAGGTCTTCCTAATTGAAAATTATGCATGCATGCTTAGATTTGTCAAAAATTAAATTTTTGGGACTTGTGTTTTGGTTGATAAGATAGAGATACACTTCTTATGAAAGATTTTCGTGATATGAAAACTAGTATTCTAAAACTTAGATGAAATCCAGATTTTGGACTTTTTCGATGATTGAATTTGAAAATTCGTTTGCTTAATGATAGGGAATGATAAGGTTAGTTTATTGATTTTGTTCTGCAATCCATGTATCTGGAAACAAACTGATTTATTCTTCAACCTAAAAAAGTTGCAGAAGGAAAAAAAAACGAACCAAACCGAAACCGAATAGGAAAAAACCGAAACACCGAAGTTGAACCGAACCGAAAAAAACCGAATCCAACAGTAATTTCGATTTGATTTCCGGTTTCGGCCAAAAACCGAACCCATCCCTAGTTTGAACAGTAAAATAGTGGCACGCCGTCTTTGAAAAATAAATCATCCTCACAAATAAGGAGCCAAGTATAATATTTTTGTTTGTTTATATATTCAATCATGTTGTATATTTGGAATTTGATAAAATCAGAAAATTTGGAAAATATTGTGGGTCTTCATCATCCCACTTCATGCTGATATCATGCACCTCATTCTTTAATCTCATCCACGTAACTCACGTGAATATGGGTTTGGTCGTGGACCAATTTGAGGTCGATGGGCCACCTTCCTTTTGGAGTGTGCCAAAACACCAATAATTATCATTATTTGGGATTATAATTATTAAGAAGTGTGTAACTAACTTCTGGCTTTTGCTTTCCTTTGCTTCTCTTAAAGAATACTAGTCATCAACATCTCATAGCAAAGTTAGACAAATTGAGATGATCACACTCGCATACCCTAAACCCAATTAACAACAAGATTTGCACTTCCACTTGGGGACTTAACAACACTCAACTCCCTAACCCTAAATTCACATATCAGAGTCTTGAGACTTGAGAGTCAAGCAAAACTTTTCTTACTTTGGGAGTGCGCGGGTGCCACTAGAGTAGGGCTAGTTTTCCCCTTTCAAGTTTATCGCATATTTATTCTCTTAATTTTGTACTATATTCCTTCTTTTTTTGCTTCATTACAAAAAACGGTTTTAGGCTCTTTATCTCTAACTTACTCCTACCCACCATCACCATTGAGCTAACCCTAATGGATTCTTCCTCCACCCTCTTTTATTTTATACATTTCCCCCTCTCTCTGTAATTTTTCAGATGCACTAAAACTAGCTCATTCAAAAAAATTACTAGGACTTACTGCTAAAAGGAGACTTGAAATGGTGACTGACGTTGTTCTTAGAAAATGTGTTTGGATGCTAGCTTCTAAGTTTTGAGATCATCTTATTCCATTAGCTGTTGGACTACATAATTACAAGAAATGAGTTTACACTAGAAAAACTGATGATGATGCCAATGGCAATCCCTATGTGAACTTCCAAAACCACAAATAAACAAATTGTTGAAAAATATAAAGTATTTTAGGGATTTGATGTGATATGATTTGATTTGATTAAGACTTTGATATGATATGATTTGATTTGGTGTAGGTTTTCTTGTCATGTGGACAAAGGATGGTTTTTATTTTATTTATTTTCTATTATTGCTTTGGTGTATTCTTATAAATTACTTCCTTATTGAGAAGAATACAATATTAAAGTTGTATTTGAGATTATAGGCGCTTTCCTATGGGTGCACGAAGCTAATTTTCTTCATGAACTCACATGCTATGAACTTGAGAGTGGAGATTATCCACAATTGTTAGAAGAAAAAGAAGAAGTTAAAGTGTTGTCGCTACCATGAAGAAAAAAAAAAGTTATGTTGTCGTCGCTTGGGGAAAAGAGAAATTTTTTTTGCATGATATCCGTTTCCTGTCATGGAGCCTTTTGTGCTTTATTTTATTTTTCTTTTTGATTTACTTTGATTATGAGTTTGAGGAATGAAAAAAAAACAAAACAAAACAAAAAGAAGAAGAGTGAAAAAAAATTTGTTGGTTGGAGCTTTCGAAAAGAGGTTTTATTGGGCTTTCAAAAATATTAATGTTTTTTTCAATTAGACTTTCGAAAAAAGGTATTAGTTCCAACATATCAAGAGTTTTGTTTACAGGGCTTTCGAAAAAAGAATTGATCTTTTGAAAATATTAGTGTTAGTTCCAGTTGTGCTTTCAAAAAGAGGTGACAACTCCGAGAATTATGATTTGTTATGATTTGTTAGTCAGCCTTTTCAAAAGAGATGTTTGTCTTTCAAAAAGAGGCGTTAGTTCTAACAGATTATGATTTGCTGAGTTTTCGTAAAAATTGATGTTAGGTTCACTGGTGAAAATTTCCTGCACGTGTGACTTAATGCGTGGTCCTAAGAAGGGGGTGTTGAACTTACAAAATTTCAAATTAGAATTTATTTCCTTCTTGGTACATCGGGAGTTTGAAGGGGGTGTTGGAAAATATGAACTATTTTAGAGATTTTATTTGATTTGGTCTACATTTCCTTATTTTGTGGACAAATTATTTTGATTTTATTTATTTTCTAGTATTGCTCGTTGTATTCATATAAATATCTCATTATGGAGAAGAATAAAGAATTAGAGTTGTATTTGAAAACTGTAAAATTGTAAAGAATTCTAAATTTATCCTAAACGCATTATTTTCGACTCCTCCAAACAAACAAATAAACAAGTTAATGTCAATTGAGGATGACGCGGGTCGACATCAATCCTAGACCAAGGCCGATCGACCACCTTCAGTTTCGCGGCCGAAGACGAGCCCAGTGATGGATGGAGACAAAGGCCTAAAAGCGAAGAAAGCTTAAGCAATTTCTCAATCCAAGTGCATTGTCCGAACTGAGTTGGAACGCCAAGCGGCTCTAGATTGAATGAAGGGTGACAGGTGCCAAACGAAATAAGGACGTGTGAACAAAAACTTACACGTCTTTATTTCATTAGCACGGGACGTCACGTGGCGTGGCGCTGTACCCATGTCATGTAAGTCATTCTTAGACAGAAAATACTCCAGTAGATATTATTGAAAGATTGCAAAGCAAAGCATATCTCATTTGTAAAAGAGAAGTTATAGTTCACAAAACATAGTCCACGCAATGAAATAGAATCCTCCGGTCCGGATAAACATGTAAGATTGTTCCACTAAATTTCTCTAAGCCACCACATATGTCATTATCATAAGCACGCTCCCGAAGAGATAACTTATCCAACGATTTGACTTCTGATATCAATGGTAGTCGGGAAAGGCAGAAGCAATCGCTTGATTCGAACTAAGCTGCTTATGTAGTGATCTGAACTTGTCCTTAAGCCTCTTGATCTGCAAATCCAACATGTCAAACAAATGTGTACAAGCACGCGTGAAGTGGGTAAGAAAGAGAGGGCAATTTAACAGGTCATAAGTGGGAGGCAAAATTGAAATACCCTTTTAATC